TTACCCGCCAGGTGCGTACAGAAAAGGGGGTCGGGCTATGGCGGAGCAGGCAGCGAGTGAAAGATTAGGAGGTCGAGATCGGAGTACTACGCTGGGCAGTGGGGATAGACGCAGTTAGTAGAGAAGAGAGATAGGGGGAATGAGCCTAAACGGAGAGGGGCATAGGGTGCATGCAGATAACGAGCAGGCGATGGCAGAAGACTAGTCGAACAGACTAGTAGCAAGCTCCCTCCGAGGCCCCCTGAAGACTAACTGAGGACGTGGGACAGCTAGCGCATGTGAGAGAGACGGTGCGGTGTGAGGCAGTGCGGTGTGAAAGGGGAGAAAAAAGAAATGGTAACGAAAGTACAGTGAACCTGGACGCGAAAGCACGCCAGATACATTCGGAAGTAGAGAAGAAGCTGGCTGCGAGGGAAAGGCTGTGACGAGGATGAGGTACGATCTCGGCCAATATCTGATGAKGTTGGGTGACCWAAGGTGTTAGACATAGGCTTTGAGGAAGGGCGAGTTAGGCAGTATAGTTGAACTAGGAGGAAAGTTARTRTATCGGGAGGAAGAATAGATAGGAGGTGCGCGGAGGTGTCGAAGACATGCATATGGAGGAGTGCAAGATGTGGTCGTCACCCGACTCTTGACAAAATCGGGCGAGCCGAGACTCGATTCTAGCATTCTTAGGCTGGGCGAACGTGATGGAAGGGTCAGGTTCGGTGTTAGAGTAGAAGGACGGGGGCTAGTAGGAAGAAGTGGTGCGTAGAGGTGTCCATGGAGAGGAAGAAGTTAGGACGAAGGAGGCAGGCCTCGCCTGCTCCTTGATAAGAACAGGCCAGACAAAAAACTAATTGAGGCCTTTGGCCATCAATCTAATGACGGTGACAGAGTTTACGTGGCAATCCTGGTTTTAGTGCAATAAGGGTGGCGAGCTGCGTTGGGCGGCAGTGTTTCGCAATCGTGCGGGGCGGCCACGTATCTTCCCGTATTCTGACGGAAGATTCAGTCCCAGTCCTGCACACTCGAAGGAGGCCCGAGCGCGGATCAAGGATGGCAAAGGGCAGGGGCAACATCGGGAGGACTTCCCACGTACCTGGCCGTATCTCAGGGTCAGATTCGATCGATACTGCGCATTGTGTGAATAGTAGAGCAAGGCCCTTTTGCAGCGCACACTGCAACCGTCTCGATCGTAGCAGTACTCGCCATTAGGGTCGGTTCTGTCAGCCATTCCCCGCCTCTATGCACGGGGTCACTCTCTTCGTCCAAGCGATCACTTTTTGGAGCCTTACGTCCTGATGCTAATGTCATAGTGTTTCCCGCAAGCCCAGGCGCGCCGGACCATGGAGGTGAGAGGCGCGAGCACAGAGAAGGAGAGAAGGGCGGAGAGAGAATAGAAGAGGAAGAAGCACTTATCTGGCGGAGGGATTTTACCACATGATGGGAGTGTCGACCAACGGCGTGGGGTAAGTCGAATACCGAGCTAGGGGGCCATGTTCACCAGGCACGTATCCACCCGTCTGGAGTTGGGAGAGCCATGTTGGTCTCACTTAGTCAGTCGGCAGAGGTAGCAAGAAGTAAGTCGTGGGGTGGGGGCTACCAATTGGCGGGCGCATTCCCCACCACCTGGCTTTTTACAATACTACTTATGGCTCTTGTGCCTTCCTTGTCATCGGTCTACGAAGTCATGCTGGCCTCTGGGACCTCAGTATGACATCGTAGGAGGCTTCTGTACGCCCAGAGGGAGGCCGGGACTTACCGGTCGTCTCGTGAAACAGTACGGGTTACAGGGCTGCGGCTGATAAGTTCTTAAATTGAGCGTGAACGCTCCGACGCGGTGTTGCCCCTCTGAGCAA